TCCTGCTCCTCGAGGTCCCACACCTCCTCTTCGTCGGCAAACGAGATCTTCTCTGGTGATTGCGATCTGGACCTGAGGTTCCCCTTCTTCTTCTTGGGGGTGAACAGGGTAACCTCTCGCTTACACTTGGTACAAATGCCCTGCCCTCGGGTGATCACATCATTCCATTCACACTTCCCGCACTGACAGCGGCTCCAGAGCCGCGCACTACGATCAACAAACGCCATGGCAGGAAAGATCTTGGACTGACACTCTTGCTTTTGTCACAGATGACTGGCCTCCGCAAAGGGCTCTGCTCTGTGTGCCTCAAGCGCTCCGAGCAAGCACAAGAGTCGGCACAGACAAAATGCTTGTGCCTAGGTGGCTTGAGAGAAGAGGAGGAGGAGGAGGAAGAGGAAGAGGAGGAGGACGAGGAGGACGAGGAGGAGGAGGAGGAGGAGGAGGAGGAGGAGGAGGAGGAGGAGGAGAGGGATGAGGATGAGGAGGAGCAGCAGGAGGAGGAGGAGGAGGAGGGAGAGGAGGAGGAGGTGGAGGAGGAGGAGGAGGAGCAGGAGCAGGAGCAGGAGGTGGAGGAGAAGGAGAAGGAGAAGGAAAAGGAAAAGGAGGAGGAGGAGGAGGAGGAGGAGGAGGAGGAGGGGGCGCCGCGTGCATATTGTCAATGCCAGTTTGAAGGCTCGATGCGTGTACACGCCGCAGTGGGCCGTGCTGCATCATCAGGACCTCTCCAGATTCGGCGACAGGAGGGTTTGCCCCTTCCGTCGCCTACAGGTTATTCGGCTTCTCAGAGGGCCCTCTCCTTCCCGGCCCCCCCGCGCGCGGCTTCGGCTCATCTTGGATCCAGCGTTGCGCTGTACATGACTGGCTAGCAGTGCCGTCACACACGGGTGGGAATCCGCCGAAGGCGTGGGCCTGGCATCCCAGAGTTGGGCCGGAGCGCAGCTGCCCCCGTCGGCTGGAGGGACACCTTTGCCTGTGCTGATAGGGCGTCGGTGTCAAATGGGCCGTCGGAGTCTGGACCCTGCCTCCTACCGCTGCACTCGCCTGTCGCCGGCCATACGGGCTCTGGCGCCTCGTGTTGCAGCTTTGGGTCCACCCCGTCTGCCCCCCGTGCACCTCGTCCGCGCTGGCTTCGCTCCTCGCTCCCTCCTGGGCATGGGCGGTGCCGTGTGCCGTCGAGTCCGCTCCTTGCTTCCTCCCCCCGTGCCCACTCCCAGGTGCCCCGATGTTTCGGAGAAGAGCCAACTGCAGAAACAAGAGCCTTCGGGGGGTCGCGCGGAGTTTTCGGATCAGCGTCAGGACACCCTGGCGGTGCCTGAAGCGCCGGCCCCGGTGCGCTCCGCGCGCCAGAGAAGGGGGTCCGGCGCCGATCCAAGAAATCCGCGCGGACCTCCGAATGCTTATGCTTGGGCCGATGCCTGTTCTTCCACTGTTGGGGCTCACAGGAATGGTGGGACCCACGGGCGGATGGTGCTTTTCGCTTCCGCCCCGGGGAAGCACCAAACATGACCTCGGAGGCTGATCAGCGGAGCGGCCGCGGTCGCTCCGCAGTCCGCCCGCAGGCCCGCCCTTCCCCGGGGACTGTTCGCGCGTTCGTTCGATCCTTCGTCCGTCCGTTCCAGGGCGCCCCGTTTGCGTTTGGCGCCTCTGCCGCTGCGGGCCTGCCCTCGGCTTCCTCCGATGCCCGCCGATGCCCCCCGGTGCCCCGCAGCTGCAGAGGGCAGGTGCCCCCCGGTGCCCGCCGGTGCCGATGCCCCCTCTGCAGTGCCCCCCGGTGCCCCCCGGTGACGATGCCCCCCGGTGCCCGCCGATGCCCCCCGGTGCCCCGCCGATGCCCGCCGATACCCTCCCGTGACCCCCCGCTGCCCTGCGGATGCGCCACGGTGCCGTCTGCTGCCCCCCTGCTGGGGCTCGGCCCCACTGCAGCTGCGGGCGTGGGAGGAGGGGGAGGGGAGGAGGGGCTGCTCCGAGATGCCACACGATCGTTCCAAGACGCCCAAGATGGCCCCCAGACGCCCCAAGGGGCCTCCAAGAGCACTCCCCAGAGGGCCCCAAGAGGCAAAATTCATTATTTTTTCTTTAGGTTTTGGGCAGATTTTGGCGTGTCCATCTTTTCGGCTTCCCGACGCCCCAAGACGGCCCAAGAGGCCCCCAAGATCGCCCCAAGAGGGCCCAAGAAGCTCCCAAGAAGGCCCCAAGATGGCCGAAGAGGGCTCCAAGACGGCCCCAGAGGCATCCAAGACGGCCCAAGAGGGGCCCAAGAGGGCCCCAAGCGATGCCCCAAAGGGGGAACACAAAACAAAACTTCGAGCCCTCGGCCTTAAGAAGCCCCCAGGAGGTCTCAAGAGGCCCCTGAGAGGCCCCCAAAGCCCCCAAGAGCCCCTCAGGAGGCCCCCAAGCGACGCTGAAGAGGCCCCCCAGCGGCCCCAAGAGGCTCAGTCATGCGAAATGGGCCGGCGGAATGAGCGAAGCGATTCAATAAAGAGGAGGAGGAGGAGGAGGAGGAGGAGGAGGAGGGGGAGGAGGAGGAGGAGGAGGAGGAGCATGAGAAGGATGATGATGATGCTGATGTTGATGCTGATGATGATGATGATGATGAGGATGAGGATGATGATGATGATGATGATGATGATGATGATGATGATGATGAGGATGAGGATGAGGATGATGATGATGATGCTGATGATGCTGAGGATGAGGATGAGGATGAAGATGATGATGATGATGATGATGATGATCAGGATGTGGATGTGGGTGATGAGGATGAGGATGAGGATGATGCTGATGATGATGATGATGATAATGATTGTGATGCCGATGATGATAATGATTGCGATGATGCTGATGATGATGGTGATGATGATGACGATGATGATGCTGCT